GCTCGAGGAAGCGCATTCTCGTAACTAGGCAACCGGAGCGTCCGGCGATAAGCTGGGGGAACAGGGACAACTCTCGAGCAAGGCCTGTCTTTACAGGCACACAAAACGTGTTGCCAATCCATGGTGCTGTTCCTTTTCTGTCTCCAGTGTCCCCAGCTGAGATTCAGAGATCTTAGGTCTTGTTCATGGAATTTTTCTTTCTTTCTTGTTTTTTCCTGATTTTTTTATGCGCTAGGATGGGAACCCTCCAGGATTCTGGCAGACTGAGGCAGCATAACTACAGAAACGATACACTGATACAATTCTTATAAGTTAAAGACAAGGGGGAAATTAGCTTGCTAAATTTTCTCAATAGTTCAGATGAGGGTGAAGTCTTACTTTCTAAAACGTTTATCACTGTTACATATGTGAAATGGAATTGTATGATATTTGTTGTAGGGGGGAATGTGATTGCAAAAGAAAAATGCATTTGTTGTAGAAAATGTGACAAATACTAAAAAGAAACAAGATGAAAATGAGATCTTACCGAACCACGCAAAGATAACCATTTTGATGCCTGTTTGTTTCAGGATTCTTAGTACAGAAATTACTGGCTATTTGGTTTCTGCAAGATGAAGATTGTTATCTATTGACTGTTTTGTAATGGTTTATTTTTTTCAAATATATGTAATATTTGCATTTATTTTATATTCTTTGGAGAAAAGGACATGACAACAACATTCCTAGAAGGGAAAAAAAATCATGCACAAGAGATAGGGGACAGGAGAAAGAGACAGAAACTTTCCTTCTGAGGCCTTTACTTTGGGATATCTTTTTCTAAGCTCCAACAAGTCAAATCAAAAAAACAAATCAAACCCTATCTATAACATGGAAATTAAAATACCTCCTTTGCCAGGTTGCTAAGATGATGAAATGAGAGAAATGAAGCTTGAGTGCAATTTCTGATAAATAATAGACAGCAAATTTTAAAATCGATGTTACCTGTCCCATAAACACTTACGGTATGTGCCTCCTACCTCCAAATATCCGTGGTAGGAGATAAGAGAAAAAGGCAGGATAAGACTGCAATTCCCCCTTAACTCCAAGCGGATTTAGGACTGTTTCTGCTCACTCTACTTTCACGACTCACTTTCTTAAACTAGTGTCTTTTGAACCCTAAAGTTCTATTGTTTGTATTCAGTCTTTGATTCATTTACTATGATTGGGCTTCTGTCCCATCTAACTACTGAAAAA